ATTCTGTGCCCGGAATTGATTCTGAGCATTTTAAGGCGTTTGTTAACGGCCCAAAATTCCATCCTTGGAATAGAAAAAGAACAGAAACGCGTTTGATAACACCACAAAATTTCTTTTTATTAATAATATTTTAATATTTCTTTCTTTTTTTTCTTTTCCTCCTTGGCCATGGCCTGCTCGCCGGCCATGATCGGTAAAATATTTTTATTAAAAATATATATTTTTACTTTTTTTTGCCGTGGCCTGGTTGCCGGCCATGGCCGGTAAAATATTTTTTTATTAAATTTTTTATATTAAAAATATATATTTTTATTTTTTTTTGCCATGGCCTGGTCGCCGGCCATGGCTGGTAAAATTTTTTTATGAAAAATATATTTTTTTCTTTTTTTAGGCCATGGCCTGATCGCTGGCCATGGCCTGTAAAATATTTTTTTTTATTAAAAATATACATTTTTATTTTTTTTGGGCCATGGCTTGGTCGCTGGCCATGGCCGGTAAAATATTTTTTTATTAATAATATTTTTTATTAAAATATTTTTATTAAAAATATATATTTTTTCTTTTTTTGCCATGGCCTGGTCACTGGCCATGGCAGGTAGAATATTTTTTTATTAATAATATTTTTTTATTAAAAATATATATTTTTTTCTTTTTTTTGGCCATGGCCTGATCGCCGGCCATGGTCGGTAAAATATTTTTTATTTTAATAATATTTTTTATTAAAATATTTTATTCTTGTCAGATCCGGCGAGGGCGGTCCTCAGGCCAGACATTAGAAGCTACATTAAAAACCAAGAAAAGGAAGAAGAAAAAAAAAATTGATTCTCAAAATTGTTCCCAGAATCAAGAATCTACTTTTTTTTTATTCTTGAAAACTGATTCTGGGAACAATTTTTGACAAAATTGTGTCCAGAATCAAAAAATTAAACAAACGCATTTCTGTTCCCAAACTGATTCTGGAAACAAAAGAACAAAATCAAACACTGTTTGGCAAATTGTCATGCGCAGCCTAAATGGCCAAATTGATAAGTTTATGACTGAATTGGCACAAGTGCAATATGTTTATGAATTTTTCGGTAACTATTCCCCTCTGGGGTGTTTCTATGGATTCTTGGAAAATGGGTCCTAATCATTCAATAACCATTGGATAAAAAAAAGTAAGCTTTGCTCGTTGATCGTAAAGCTTTTAAGTTTTTGTGTATTAAGATATTTTCTATAGAAGTTATGAAAATTTATAAAGAGTTACGACGTATTACAATTTAACAATCCGTCCTCCTCTGAGGTCATTGTGACCCACAGCCACACTCACATTCAGTTGCTTTCTTTTGGTCGTTCATCCACTGCACACTCCCCACTTCCTTTTTCTTTCACTTTAAAAACACCCGATTCCTTTTTGGCTAAGAGGCTAAAATGTCCAACCTTTATATTTAATTACAACTTATAAGTTTACCCACATGACCAAAAGTACACAAATGACGTCAATTGTGTTTAACAACAAAAAAATAACAAACCTCTGATCTAAGTGTCAAAGGTTGAAGAGTTCTGTGATCCAAGGTCGTCCACCCTGAAACGGGAACACTGTGGAGAGAGAGTGAGAGAGAGAACAAGGGGTTTTGGGGCTTCGATGACCGCGGTGACCCACTCCTCTTGGCTGCATCGCGGCTTCGACGGGCGTTTGACAGCCGATGCCTATGGTGGTGGCTACGGCTGTCCGGTGGGCAGAGAGGGAGAGGAAAAGTTGCGATTGGGAATTTGATTGTTGTGTGCCCGAGTGCATGCAAAGGTGCTTTTTCGGAAACCTGGAGTGTATTTCATCAAAGTTGAGGTATTTTTGTGGTGTAGCTTAATCTGGATCCTTCATTTGGCGGCTGATGTGTTAAGTATTTAAGGGAACAAATTTAAGATCAAAGTAAATCAATTGTTCGGGTGAGAAACTAATTCATTTATTCCTCAATTTTGTGCGGCAGGCATCGTAGCGGTAAAGTTATGCATAACTGTTAGTGGCCTAGTTGTTGGTGGCTTTAGCCAACTACGACGCCAGCAACAAGCTCGGTGAGGGTGGTTTTGGTTCAGTTTACAAAGGAAGAATTGACGGCGACCTTCTAGTCGCGGTCAAGAAGCCTAGAGATGTCCCTGTCCTGAAGCAGAAAGACGTGAACAAGGACGGGTCTCTGAGCACTCACGATGAATTCCTGCACGAAATCGGCATTATTTCACAAGTGAATCACAAGAACTTAGTCAAGCTCTTGGGCATATGTTTGGAGACAAAAGTACCATTGTTGGTCTATGAATTCATCCCGAATGGGACTCTCTATCACCATATTCACGACAAGAGATCGACCGTCCTGCAATCATGGAAGAATCGCCTCAGGATTGCCTTGGAAGCCGCCTTGGCCCTCGAGTACTTGCATTCCCTGGCCAACCCGCCGGTCATTCACAGTGATATCAAGTCCCTAAACATACTTTTGGATGAGAAGTACTCCGCAAAAGTATCCGATTTCGGAGCATCGGTTTTGATTTCACCCGGAAAGACTCATATAGCTGAAAGAGTACAAGGCACAATAGGTTACCTCGACCCAGAGTATCTCCGCACTGGTGAATTAACCACCAAGAGCGACGTTTATAGCTTCGGGGTCATTCTCTTCGAGCTCCCAACTGGAGAGACACCGACTCGGCGGGAAAAATCAGGGGAAAGAATCAACACTGTCCAATCTTTCGTCTCTGCTGTGGAAAATCGAACACTCCTCCATATGATAAATTTCAAGGCAACCAATGAAGGTGAACTGCAGGAGATCGAGGTGGTCAGTTCGCTCGCTAGAAGGTGCTTAGACTATAATGGCGTGAATAGACCAACAATGAGGGAAGTGGCTGAGCAACTGGCTAGGATCAACGAAAACTTGTGGGCCAATTAGCAAAATGATGAAGAGACTCAAAGTTTACTCGACGAGACAAGATGTGATTCTCTCTGGACTTCAATCAATGAAATGAACAGACCGGAATCGACTGGTCTTTTGGTATTTGACATCGAACCAGCCACTACTAGTTCCAGCGTCTAATTCGTAGTTTCTAGTGTGCGGATATATATAAGAAATAAATGCAAAGGTCGTATGTTCATGCTGATCTTTTGATTAAGCTTGTGTTTTGCTTACATCTGATTAATTAGGGATTGTGAAGTCTTAGATGGGATGATTCTATTTTAAATTAAGTATGGGGCATTGTATATGATTGTACTCACTTCTGTTCTAGCTATAGTTTGCAAAGCTCTGACGAACACCCATTCTATTTAATGAATGAATGATTATGGAAAGATTGCTCCGTTCAACATCCATTCGAGCAAGTCAATGGGAAATTACTTTTGTGAATTGCAGATTCACATAGACCACCTTTCGCTACTGAGGCACGAAGAAATTTCCTTCTTTTGGTATCGCATCGAATTTTTATTTTATTTTATTTCATTTTTTGATTTTTTGTCGCTATAGAAAAAAGTGCCGCTTCAAAGAAAAGCCAGAGCTGCAAGAGTGCAAGAATGACAAACTCTACTCACAAAATAAATTATCTGCTTTCGAGAATTTCCATCCCGATCAATTGCAAAATAAGGTTGAATTTTTTAGACGTCGTTTGATTCCATAGCAAGAAATTCACAAATAGATTCTTATTATATGTAATGTGAATCTCATTTGTTCTTTAATTATTTGGATTCCTAAAAGTTTTGGCATTATAAGAAAGAATACTTCTCATTTAAGGCAGCAAAGATCAGAGAATACTTCTCATTTAAGGCAGCAAAGATCAGCGTCAGCTACAACGGGTGGCGACCGGCACCGCGATTGTAGCGACAGTGGTGGCATTCGGCAAACTACAGCGCTACAAATTATTTTTATTAATTAGTATCCGGGTCATTTGCGTTTGTCAAAGGCCAAAACTTTCCTGGCCGAGCTTCTAAATTTTCAAGGAAGTTTGGACTCATTTATTGGGGTGTTAGTTAACCCCTTATAATGTTATTAATTTACTCATCAAACATGTAAAATTTGAATTTTAGTAATTTACTTGGATGTTTAGTAAATTTGAAAGGAGTTTGAAACTTATTAATTTATTGGTGCATTGGTAAATTTCTTGTAGGGTGAATATTTTATCAACCGCACTTGTAACAATTCAAAGAAGTTGATGAGTTACTAATTTATTGGAATGCAGGTGAAAATATTAGAGTGTTGATATTTATTCAAAATACTGGTAAAATGAGAAGAGTTGGTAATATAGTATTTCATTCGAACGCCGGTAATCCTTGATGGTGGTGGTTATTTCCAAATTTGTTATCTGATATTCGAATTACCAATCATGCTTTTTTCACTAACTATATTAGAAATTTACCAACGAAATCAGAAATATACCAACAAGAAAAATTCCCCAGCTCTTTGATCGCTGGAGCTCAGAATCGTCCCTGGATTTGACATGGAAGCAACTAGTATTTTCCAGCATCTAATTTATATGGTTTTAGTACATTAATTTTTTTCTTTTGTTGAAAATGGATCATTTCATTTCAAAAAGTAAATATAGTTGGATATATTAGATGTGCGTCCGAACATAACAAGTTTAAAAGAGGAGGCAGGGGGGAAATGAGACCCAATTTAAAGGAAGAGTGTTGCGGAGTTGAGCTTTGACGACCCAATAATTGGCCTTATATGTTTAGACCAAGTTCATGATTATGTTTGGATTATGTTTTCTCTTTCTTATTTCGGCTGCTTATCTTCTCTTTCTGATAAGAATTGGAAGGCTCTGAATTATGCTTTGTCAATTCCTCTTCCCATGGTTTTCAGAATCTCTTAGGAATACGTCGCATCATCGGCACATGAACAAATCCTAGGGGACTGTCGTGGCGTGTCCTGCATCTAAACCCTAACCATCAAATACTCCACAAGTAATAATAATAATAATAATAATAATAATAATAATAATAATAAGCATACCTATTCAGAAAATGGACACGTTTTATTGAAAGCTCCAAATTATGCACTTCAACATATATCACACTATGCAATAGCATGTGTTGTTCACTGGGTGAGTTTTGGCAATTCATTCACTTTACAACATGCCGTACCTCTGCCCTTAGGAAATTCCAATGCACAACCATATTTTACATTGACAAACACCAAGATCCAAATAACAAATAATATAAATAATGACATGTTCATGCTATGATATTGCAACCCCAGCTTGCTTCATTTCCCAGCAGTTCCTCGGCTAACGAAAGCATTCCCGGCCCCAGACATGACATTCTGAATGATATCTTCCCCGACGCCCTCTCCGATCCCTTCAATCAAACCCCCAAAGAATCCGGTGACCACCTGCGATGCGAGCCGGGCTGCCGCCTCGAGCACGGTGCCCGACTTGGTCGGTTCCCTGATGCCGCTGTCCTGGAGGCCATTGAATATGATCTTGGCACATATCGCGTGGAGATGGTAGTCACAGACCGCGCAACGGTATATCCGCCCTGGCCGCCTCCTCTTGCACTCCCCGCATTGAAAGCCAGTGTCGCTGCTGCTCGGTGATGCCATTAGAAGTCTGAGGGTATGTGGGTGCGGCGCGAAGACAATTTCGAGGGGCAACACGGCACAGCAAGGGTGGATCTGAAAGTTACATGCGTTGCACCGAAATGAAAAGCCCTTGACGGATTTCCCACAGGCGTCGCACTTTGAATTTGCTTTTCCCGCTTTCACTATTAATGATAATTTTAGCAACAGTCAAGACTACTTGTACAATGAAGACTGATTAATCGGGGATTCAATTTAGCCTCGCTTTGCTCGAGGGTTATGACTCTTGATTTCTGAATTATTGCTTGAAAATGTTCGAACTAGGAAAAACGAAAAAGCAAACAATTCTCTGTCGGACAAGGGTGAGTGGGGCCATAATGGTGTACCTTGAATTCTTTCTCCACATAAAGAGCGCGCGTGAAAAAGTGCTAGATAAGATCATTTTACAAATAAGAGTAACCAGCAAATAGTGCACCTTAGATTCTTTCCAAATATTGGGAGTCAGGGACATGGAAAGGTATCCAATAGGTTCGTAGTTTAAGTCAATCCCAGCCGATGAGATATGTTAAATTAATGTCTCTTTGTTCACTTAGCATGTATCATGCTATCTATTGACGCGTGATTGTTTCGATGTACAGAACAAGTCTATCCAACTTCTAGCTGATAGACATGTATTTCGCCCTCGAGAAGAGCTGGTAAAATACACAGTTCACCATTCAAGAAGGCCAATAAGTACCTGATTAAGGAGAAAGGCAGACGCAGAGACAATACATTAACTTTGATGAATATCTCGTACCTGGTTTCGAATAAAAGAGGAGCTGGTGCTGGTAGTGCAGTGGATGGCTCTTGAGAGCCTGAGGGGCCAAAGCACAGAACTCATGGAGCTGATAGTTGCAGAGCTGGCAGGCGTATCGCTTGGCCGCACCGATTTCTTGGCAACCCGAGCAAGTGAAGAGCTCGGGGAGATTGATATGGGACAGGGTGTGATGGGGGTGGCTAAAGTGAAGCATTTCCTCTCCCACTATTCTCTCAAGAGAGGTAGGGAATTCGATCACAGGGAGGGGCTTACTAGGGACGATTTGTGTTGAAGGAGGGAGTGACAGTGGAAGTTGCATGGAGTGTTGTCTCTTTAGGGTTGGAGGTTTTCTGATAGGCTTATTGTCCCTCATCATCTTTTTTTTTTTTGGGCTTGATGTGGGTATGCGCTCGAATTGGTTCTCTGTTTAGGATTGGACGAATTGGTGGGGAGTGGTGACATGGGGTGGAGAACAATTTATGCTGGAAAGAAAAGGCGGTGTTACTGTTTGCTTGGAGAAAAAATTGTAGAAAGTGAAGGGGATGCTTGCTGGCTGCTTAGAAATTTCTCTACAATTCATTGCTTGCGTTAGTACCCCATCAACCACTTTTTCCTTTTGTCAAATTCTTGGGGACAACGTCACATATACAATATAGATCATATCTTATACATTCGTCCAGTTACATTTTCAATATGCTAATTAAATTTCTTTTTCATAGTTAAGGTGGAGATAGAGAAGCGCGAAGGTTTTAAGTAATTATGTTGTTGTTTCGTTCAGAGCATGTTCGTTTGAATTCGACACGAAATGTTTTTATTGGAAAATTCATTATTAAAGTAATTTACTTGTTAATTACAATGTTGCGCGCATAGCAAGAAGAGGGCTTTTTATTATTCTAAACTTATATCAAAGTGAAATTTGGGTAACTAATAATTGAGGAAACCACGAATGTAGAAGAACTTTGAGTTGAAGTTCGCGTTAAGATACCAAGCTAAAAGAGCCTCGAACACCCAAAAATTCTAGTGCAGCAAATTACAAAAGGAACGACTCTGGAGGTTTGCCCTATTTCCTAAAGTCGAAAGGGCGAGCGGCGACCATTGACCCGTAATCCCTTTAGGGCTACTACTAAATGGAAGGAACTAAACGTTGCGGTGATGGCAAAAAGTTATGGTGATAACATATAAACTCTCAAGCTTATAGGTAAGTGGAGAGCACTTGCATGTAATAACATATAAATTCGTAGACAACGACATATGATATTTTGACACCCTTTCTCACGTACAAGCCGAATTAAAAATGACACTGACAATTGGACAAACGGAGTGCCACACATACGAAATAAGCGGGAGTAGAACCTAACTCCTATACTATTGGTACGTGTGATAGAAGTCGGATATCCTCACCTAGAGAGATTACCAAAAGGGAGCCTAAGCCAGAGCCCATAAACTTATCCGGTTGCACCCATTTAAAAGCTTAAACTAATGAGTTACGAGCCAATTAAAATTATTAATTTCTCCACACCATACTAATTATCTAATGTGGAACTTTTATAACACAATTCACACCCTTAATTCAGGTAATCTTTCACATCAAGATGTCTCAACTTGAATTTCTACTTTGTTTCATATGAGGACTACAACAACAACATTATCATAACTGCGTTTACCATGAGATTTCTTTTTTAAGACATTCACCTATCATTGGAACGAATTGAGGGACAACCAATCAACCAATGGCTTTGTTACCATTTGTTCACTCAAGAAGATCTCGCCAAGGAGAAGTCCAAGTCAGACACCATAAACATATTTAATCAGATTCACATTCACTCATAAGTTTAAGTCAATAAGTTATGACCAACTAAGATTATTAACTGCTCCACATTCCACTAATTTTTCGATATGAGATTTTGCGGACACAACCCACACATGTATATCAATAGATACCATGTTAAGAAGTCCAATCCAAAGATTATAGAGGTGAAAGAGACTACATGCTTAAACCATATAGACCCCTCAAATAAGAGATGTGGGATAATTTAACGTGGCCGAGCCGGTTGGGTTCCTGGAAGTAGTTGGCTTGATATGTCGTGGTAATCAACGGACTTATACATTTGTTATGTCCGGAAGCAAACAAAAGAATAACAGAATATAAGATTTTTTGCGGAAATAGGGCCCCCAAGAGTACTGTCGATTCTTGGTGGACGATGTTGTAAGACTTAGGTAGAAGCAAAAGATTATAAATTAGACATTCGATACCCAATTGCACCAGAAGTCAAGTCTCTCTCTTCCATCTTTATAGCTTTTCCTCAGGGATTTTCTTCTCCTGGCGCCTCCCCAATAATTCATGTATCTCTCCAATAACTGTTCAAGATATGCCTTTTTTTCTTGAAAGTGCCAAGTCTTGAAAAATGAGCTAAAGAGGATTAAAAAAGAAAAAACTTTATGTTCTCCATTATCAAAATTGATAATCTCAATCATTCAAGAAAAGGGAAAAGGGATGTGCATCTAAAAGTCCTATATTCATTTCTTAGTTTCTTGGGTGAGTTGTGGAGAATCTTTGGACTTTATGCCAACAAATTATTAGTTTGTGTCTTCCAAGGGATTCCTAGTGGTTGTACTACTTTTTTTTTTCTTCGCCGTGGAACAAAAGACACAACACCAACCTCATTTCCGAGAAAAAGGGTGAGATTCCCCATTACCACATGTTGATTGAAAAACTACTCTCTAAATCGGATCATTTCATCAATTGCTTCACATGTGTTTTACTCAAGCCCCCATTTAAGAATGTTGAGAAGAACATACATTGTAGGAGTCTGTATATTAATCATTGGTTAGATGCTATTGTTTTATTAGTGCGGTCATTGGTTTTCCGAGGACTATGAATAGAAGTAGAGAAAAAAAAAAAAGGTAATGATGCGTTTGTTTCCCGAAAAATGAATAATTTAAAAAATATGTTCAAAACATGATTGCTTAAATCACTTACAAAAATGAATAAACAAAAAATATTTTGATCGTCAACGAAATGGACATAAATTGTTGTCGATAATTAAAAAAAATTCATATTTCGCGAAAAATGAAAGATTTGGAAAATATTTTCCTTAAAAAATAATTTGTATTGCTTGAAATAATTAGTCAATGAAAGATGTTTCATTATGGACGACAATTTATGTCTAAATAATTTCGGCGAATGATGAAATCTTTCTCTATTCGTTCATTTTTGTAAATTGATTATATTTTGAAAAATATTTTTCAAATCGTTTATTTTTCACAAAACAAACACACCATAAATGAAATAGGGCAAGGTGGATCAACAATACTGTCCTAAAAACAATGGTTTCTCCAAATAAATGCATAATCCGCCGTAGTAGACCACAATGGAAACAAGATGCTCCTCTTAATGGGTTAGTTGGCAAAGTCGATAAATAAAACGAGAAATGACTAAAAGGTAATAAAAGAATATCGGCAACCAATAAAGAATGTTCTCTTCAAAACACAAAACTCATATGTAAATGGTCAAGACGCGAATCCTTGAAGAGCCATGAAGATGAAATTGTAACTGCTTCAATAAAGCACTTCTGCTTGTGGCCTACTCGTTCACTTATAAAAGTTATTAAAGTTCAAAAAAGGAATTTGACCAATTTGAGATCTAGAGAAAAGTTAAATATCGAGGTTACATCTCCGGTGCATGTGATCTTGTTTGAAAGAGGAAGATTTCATCTTGGATAATGCACTGAATTTTCACAGCAAAGTTAAGGTTGAAGTTAATCATTCTAAACGAAGCCCTAGCACAAGTGTGGAGCGAACGCTCTTGATGGGATTCGCCCACGGAAGTGTGAAAGTTGAGGTCGCTTCGTGTTGATCCCTATAAAACTCCAAAGCGCTTCCCAAAAAAGGATAAGTTTACGAACTACTAATACACTGCCTTGAATGAACTAGTGAAGTTTATTCTTTCGCATCAAGATATCTCAACTTGATTCATTCAAGCATAAGGTTCAAGGATATCCAACTTATGTTATGCTGTACATATAGCCAAGCGTTTTCTTTCTCTCCTATTTGATAGTTTCAATCCTTTCAAAGAACTATTGTTAAATTTTTTGTTTGATTTTGTTTTTGAAAGTATTATTATACTTATAATATAGAGTGGGATTGTTGGAAAAATTTATAAGTATGATAGTAAATTCATTATTCGTTTATTTATCTATTAATTATCGTTAGTAATATTACCGAGTCATTTATTACTAATTGCGTCTTCTGGTGAAAAGGTCATGTCCCTTCACAAGGCCATGTCTTTTAACCATTTATATTCGAGCTTTGTGTTTTAAAGAGACTTGATTGTGGCTCTTCTTCTACTTCTTCTTCTTCGATTCTTCGATTCTTTCCTTTTTCATTGTCCTTTTGAATGGCTATCAAATCAAGTTCCAACTGATTTATCTTCTCTTAGTATGTAGACTAAGAAAAGAACATTTGAATACGGGCATTATATCCTTACTCCCCCAACTTTATTTCTCTACTTTTTCTGATTTTCACCACTTCTATCCTTATTCCCCCGACAATTGGATTATCATAAGGTAGCATTTGGGCCCGACTACATCATGAGGTGGGAGATTGGCATAGCCAACCCTATCTTGAACCCTGTCAAATACCGAACAAAACTCCAACTCGCTTCATACCTGAGTAGGTCATTGAATCTCAAAGCCATCACTTATGGAAATGAGAACTCAAAGCCCACCTGGAAATACGATTAGTTTTACTTCTCATTTCAAGTAATTAAATAAACATATGGCGTCAAAGTAAATAACATGATTAGAAAAAACTTTCCCAATCAGTCATAAATATATTGTGCGGATGTCAATTCAGTCACAAACTTTTCAATTTTTCCAACGTAGGCCTAAGCTTTTGTGCGAAATTACAACGCCGTCATTCCAATCAATTTTTGCTTGAAAATATAGACATGATAGTTCAGTCGTTATTGGTCATCTTATGTGGCATGACTGGCGTTGACATGGACAATTTTAAGTAAGGATTATGTTCTTAGGTTGAACAATAAGGGTCAAAAAATGGCAATCACTCATTCTTAAAGCCAGCTTTCTTAAGACTAAAGAGTCGGACAGAAGGAGATGGAAAGTTCTCCATTCTCGGTTCTCCTATATCTCCATCCTCCATAACCACAAAAATCCTTAGTTAGAAAGGAATCCAACTCGTAACCCTTTGAAATTTTGAGAAGAGTTGCACTTTGGAGAGCACAATACGATGAAAGTTGTAAATTGTGTTCGGAGGTGAGGGGGAGTTATTTCTATCGTTGGTCTCTATGGTAGAATCAGTCGAGGGGCCGAATAGGTGGTGGTTTACCCTATGGTGGATGTCAGTGGTTTGAGTCCACTCATCTCCAACTTGTGAACCTAGCCGATACAAAACTATATGATAATTCCCAATTTTTTCGATTCAGCATTTCAATCTATGATTTCCCATTCATGGACATTAATAAGATCCTTCCATTTAGCAACACCTTAAGATGGAATAGCCTTAAAGTGAAGAATGAGGTTCAAACAAGGAAAGGATTATAGTGGATACCTAGGCACCTAAAAAT